TAATTGTGTAATTTGATATTTGATATATCCAACTCGTTTCCCACACAGAGTTTTATATTTGATGAATTGACTTAGGGCTGTCAAAGACAGCATTGTCCAGGGATTTCAGTGGGCGACGAGAGAAGGACCACTCTGTGATGAACGTACAAAAACATATGTCGTTAGTAACTGTTAGAAAAAAACTTACAATTCCTTCAAGTTCGACAAGCCGATGAATGTGCCGTTCTTTATTGTGTTTATACTGTTCCCGTCCAGAAATCTAAAATAAAATGTGAAGAGTGAATTATTTAAAAAGCTGTTTTGTCTTCCGAAAATATACATCGAAATATATCTTTCTCTAAGAAAATTTTACAGTTAAGAGGCAGTCCACCGAAAAGCCAGGCAATGGGTGGCACATTGCATGACATGGATTTTAATTAATTTTTGCATGCAGACTTATTGAAGGAAGTATTTATACATGAAAACATAAAAAAAAATTTCAGTGCTCTTCAAGTCCTATTTTTGGTAAATGTGTGATTTTAAGTGCAAAAAGGTCAACATGAGGTAAACAAAAAATACTGCGTTTTTATTTTGTTTTTTATTTAAGAGATACTTAAAAGCTGGGTGTGTTGATGAATATTATTTTGTAGCATAGACTCCTATCTTTTATTGGGTACCTGTAAAGTGCGAAACGAAATAGAAACGAAATAGAAACGAAACGAAACGAAATGTACCGAGACAAAACGAAACGAAATCAAAACGAAACCCAACGAAACGAAACGAAAAGACACAAAACTATCAAAATGTTTGTTTTGTTTTTTTTTTCAAATAAAGGTACATGTATATAATTATATATGTGTAACTGCATGTGGACTTTTTTTTGCTTCAAATAAAATTTATATAGTTCAAGCACTTGTTAATATAAAATTTAATTACCGATACATTAGGCTCCCTTCTCAGTCTAATGATGTATAATTTACATGTTTGCCAGCTGCAAATATGCACGAGCTTACTATGCATGTATAATTTCAATATGTGCAGTATTTTCTAATTTTTATATCTTACTCTTATTTTCAGTCCTTATTTATCTAGATACAACATATCTATCAAAATTGATATGTTACATGTAAAGGCTCGTCTATGTACGGGTTGAAATAAAGTCACCGCACTTTTGTATTGCAAATGTCTTAAAACATAGGATAAACCAGAGACTTAGAGTATTTTGTATTCTATTCCGAGGTGTCTGGTTTTATCGTTCAATTATACATATAATTTCAACCGAAATCTTGTGTATCCTTTCTACGTACATACGGTCCTATTCTATCGAGGTAATTTTCGAGGAAGAAATGAGTGGTTAGCAGTAAAGAGATTCGACCAGAGACATCTAAAACGATTTAACTGACAAGAAAAAATTCTCTCGAAGTGAACAATGTCTTTTTAAGATATTAACAAAATATGACATAGGCGTCGGAAGCGGGGCTTTTTTTGCGAAGATATATATTATATAGGCATTGAAAATTGGGGTTTACCTTTTTTGTTGGTTAAGCCCCCCCCCCCCCCCCACTTTTCAATTTCCTTCCGACGCCAATGTATGAGCTTGAAGCAAAACAATTGCCTGTGGTGCTTGAACTATATAAATTTCATATGAAGTAAAAATAGACCATATGTTTTGTTTGTTTCGTTTCGACAGGTTTCATTTTGATTTCGTTTCGTTTCGTCTTGATTTTGTTTCGTTTCGGTAGGTTTCGTTTAGCTTCGGTACATTTCGTTTCGTTTCGGCAGATTTCGTTTCGTTTCAGTTCGTTTCGTTTCGTTTCTATTTCGTTTCACACTTTACAGTCACTCAATAAAATCAGTGGGAACAGGTATATTGAAAGAAATAAAAGGAGTCAAATTTACCAATTTTTTTTTTATATTTTCCCAAATTAAACCGACCCCGACCGGAATTATATAAAGAAGAAAATACTATAATTGTAATGTTAAATTTGGCACTTTTGTTGTGATTTGATTAAACGATTACTTGATTTAATTTTTTACATGTCTTGTAGGTAGCAGGTGTGTTTAGTTTGATAAATTTATCAATTTTGCATTATTTTCGATCGGGGTCTGTTTTATTTCAATCGGGATCGACTTTTACCGTGAGTTTAGAAATATTTCCTAAATTTGGCTCTTCATTTTAATTTATCAGGAAAATATGCTTGCCTTTTATTTCTTGTCAGTCAGTCAATATAATATTTAAGTTTTTACAAATATCATGAAGTAAACATCTCAACTTCGTTGAATTAAATGATGCGTAAATCTAAAATATTCATCATTGATTCCTGGATAATCAGAAGAAAATATAATCTCTTCATCCCAATTTCAAAAGAAATGTTCATTATTTTTACGCATTTTCTAGTAAATCAGATTAAAAAAAATAGTTCTCAGACATGTATAAAATTACTTATCAAAACGGACTTGTTTTAATACATCTAGCTGAGACTCTGCCCGTGTATAAAATACTTTTACAATTAGATAATCTTTTTTAGACACTTTTACGCAAAGCATTTACAAACTTCTGTGGAAAACGTGTACATGTAACTTTTTCAGATATATATAACGTCACTGATACATCAATGGAAACGTTGATTCAACCTAAATAATAGAGCCAATTTTAATCTAAATTTTATGTTTGGGGGCGAAAATGAATTAAATTTTGAAAATAAATTAGTAAATTTTTTGTTTATTAATTTTCTTTAGTGTATTGATTCTAAATATTTCATTAGAATTACGATAAAAAGTGTTTAACAGATTTACCGATGCCACGGGAGATAACTCTTGCATCGCAAAATTTCATAAAAACGTCTATATATTTTGCCAGAAAACTACTATCAAAAATGTTTTTCCCACCGATTTTATTTTTTAAACAAAAAGATGAAATATTTCTAGATTTAGTTAAGTGTGAATTATAGTCCTGTTAAAAATGTATTGGAAATTACAGTTCTTTGTTTTTGACCTACATTCAATGGTTTATATAGGGGAATTCAAAAACACAAAAATAAGGATATTTTACAAAATAAGCAATTTTCGAACAAATCTTCATTTACATTATTCCTTTCAAATAACATTGATATTGTTTTTGATAAAATATCAAATATTCTGTTCTTTCACATTCGATGTGCCCCTATGATCATAATTAAGACATTTTGAAATCAACTGATCCTTCCATGTGCAAATAAGTTTTTCTGGCCCAGTGGACTGAGAAGAAGATTTTCCTCTATATATTTTTATGTGAGTAGTTCCACCCTTCAGCTTAACAATTTAAAATGCTAATACATGGAATTTATACGGTATATCTGGGTTGGGGACATTTTTGCTTCGTAAACTGCGAAATGTCAATGAAAAAAAATAATACATGAAATATTATAGTTTGGGCGATTGATATCTCAAACATAATTTAAATAACGATTTTACAGTCTCTCTTATTTTGTGAAATGATTGAGATCAAAGATTTTTCCTATATATTTCTATGGGATATTACAGTTTTGATTTGAACAATTTAATATCCACTAAAACTATCTTGAATGTCTTATTTTACAGTCTCTATATTTTTGTAAAAATATTCCCCCGGGGGTCAGTTATAAAATACATGGAACTTTGCAAGTTCTTGAAAAAAATTTTTTACCCCAATTTTTGTCTTTTCTTGATTATCTCCCCTTATATTTTCATTTTAACAATTTAAATTTTTTGTAAAACCATTGAATGAATGAAAATGCATGTGATGTTATAATTTTGCTCAGGTGATAAATTTTTCAAATACATATGTTTGATGTGCCGCCTATTTATACACTACTGCCTGGTTTTCGGTGGACTCTCTGTCAATTATTGTATTTCAAATTAACTATGCTAATACATGGAATTTACACGGTATAATCTTGGTTGGGGAAAGTTTTGCTTTGTAAACCGCGAAATGTCAATGAAAAAAATTTATTAATGAAATATTATAGTTTGGGCGATTGATATCTCAAACATAATTTAAATAAACTTAAATTTTGTGAAATCATTGGTCCATATATATAAAAAAAATGATATCAAATATCTTGAATGTCTTACTTACAGTCTCTTATTTTGTCAAAATATTGAGTTATAAAGTACATGGAACTTTGCAATTTCCAAGAATATCTTAAATTCCAAACTTATATTGTCTTTGATTTTGTAAAACCATCGAATGAATCAATGCATGTGATAATTATAATTTTGGGGATTATTTTTCCAAACATATTTAAGATAAGATACGTTTACTCTCTCTAATTTAATAAATCATTAAATTAATTACTACGTGGGATATAAAAGTTTGGCGGATAGGTAATCCAAAAATATTTTATTTAACTAATTTAAAGGTTTTTTTTTTAAATTGTCAAATCACTGAACGCACTTGCCTCTAGTGCGGTTATAGTGTTGAGGTATAGAATTTTGCAAGAAAGTGTGAAAAGTGAATGTGAAGTACTTGTGTTTGTCAGCCTAAAAATTCAAAATAATTTCATGTTATTTTTGAAGAAAAATATAATCATAAAAAGCAGCGATCATATGAAAAAAGTCTCACAATTCGTTTAATGGATTGATACTCCTAGTAAGAACTATTAGAAAAAAAAAACTTACAATAAAATTAAATTCGTCAATCCCATAAATGCTCCCTCCTCTATTGTTGTTATATTGTTGTCGTACAGCCTTCTGAAAAAAGAAAGTGTGAATGTCAAAAGCAACCTTTTTCACGCAAAATAAACGTTTTTCATCCTTAATGTAAAGTAGAGGTGTCCGAGAACTGTCCATTATGTGAGAAAACGAAATGTGCGAGGCCCGAAACGCCGAGAATAGTTTTTTCTTTCAATGAATTTTCAGTTTTAGGACTTTATTTTACTTAAAATATTTTTTTTATTGAAATAATTCATGGACTCCGAATAATAAGCATGGAATAACACGTGAATAAATCTTGTTAGTCTCATAAGGCTACCACAGGTATATTAAATATAATTATATATAACCTACACTAATTTCTCTTTCAGCCTGAATCACACAATCCACATAACCTTATCCTTTGAATCCTTACTTATTTCAATGTACATACTCGAGATATATTTCAAATAAACCAAGTCATATCAGTCATGCTGCTCGTTGTAAAGGCCTTGTCCATTATTAAAAAAATCAAATAATGATGCTATCGTTCACGAAATTGAATCAAAGAAAGAATATTATATTTGATGAATGTATGCTCTAAAAAATATATGCCGTTAGGAACTATTAGAAAAAAACTTACAATTCCTTCAAGTTAGACAAGCCGATGAATGCAGTGTTCTTTATTGTATTAATACTGTTCCCGTCAAGAAATCTGAAAAAAAATTGTGAAGAATGAATTATTTCAAAAACTATTTTATTTTAAAATCTTTTGCTTTCTAGACTCTTCCTGACATTGAACTGCCTCCCCTAACAAGAATTTTAACAAGACCACTAATATTTAAAAAAGACATGTGAAACTGTGTTGAAGCTCTACCAATTCTTTGCTTTTCTCAGACCTTTCTTTTTTTTTTTTTTGTCAAGTGCATCTTATTGTTAAACTTTGTTTTGAGGGTTTTAAGCAACAGATTCAGGATTCATTATCTGTTTGAAGATTAAAGATTCAATAATGAGAAAAAGTCAAGGAAAAAAAAAGTAAATGAATGAAATAGTATAGTTTGGGAGATTGATATCAGCAGTCTCGTTTAAAGTCATCATTTCGTAAATTCTATGGTCGATACAATGACCTTGCTAGCAAATACAATTTATCAATGAGTCAAATGGTGACTAACATTTTTCATACTAATTGTTAGCCAATTATTTATACATTGAATTGACGACGGATTTCTCCGTTATTTCTGGATCAAGAACTGAACACACAGCAGGCGTGACTATACTCACTCCTCCATGGCACCTGATCCCACTTCTGATGTTTTGGAGGTCTCTGTTTGCTCTGCTCCTTTTTTTATTGTTTTATGGACTTTGATATTGAATACTGTTCGTTATTTCCACATCATAATTTTAATCATGAACTTGCAGTCTCTTTTATTTTGTGAAGTCGACATTTCAGTGAATTAATAATGTGCTATTATAGTTTTGAGGAATGGTATCCCAAAAGATTATTTTTTTTCTCTACTTTTGTCAAATCATTGAATCAATAAATGGAATATTGCAGTTTCCTGTAATATTTAAAATACCAAATTTACAGTCTTTCAATGATTTTGTCAAATCCTTGAATGAATCAATGCTCGATAAATTACAGTTTGGAGAATTAGTGTTCAGATATATTTTAAATAATGAACTTACAGTTTCTCTAATTTTGTCAAATTACTGAAGGCGTTGTCGTCTATTGAGGTAATACTGTTGTGGTTAAGATCCCTAAAAGAAATTGTGAAAAATGAATGTCAAGTTCTTGATTTTTTCGCCATCAAAAATTCATAATAATTTTACCTCATTTAAGAAAAAATAATCAAAAAAAAAGCATCGATAATGTGAAAAATCATACTAGTCTCAAAATTCTTTTGGTGAATTAATGCTCGATAAAATATCAACAATAAAATAAGAAGTATTAGGAAAAAACTTACAATTTCTTTAAGTTTGTTAAAGAATTAAAGTCGCTCTCCTTTATTGTGGTTATCTTGTTCCTGCTTAAATACCTGGAAAAAATGTATTAAGAATGAATGGCAAAGGTAGTTTGTTAGAAAAGAAATACGCTTAAAAGTCATTTATCAAGTGATTAATTCTTACTACATAGCTTCACAATGCTATCGCATATGTATTTTTGGAATGAATTTTAAAGCTTACAAATTTACACGGTCTTACTGGGTTTGGGCAGTTTAGGATTTATGAACAATGAATCAGTTTATAAAAAAGCGTAATTAAAAAGTTTCAACCAGATAAGTTTCTTGCAGCCGTGAAATTATTGTCTGGCAGCTGCAACTAAAATATCTAGTGGCCACCAAATTATTATTATTGCGACTACCATAAACCTTCTGGCGGCTGCCATCAATTTAGTTACGGCCGCTATATCTATTTAAAATGTAATTGGCGGTCGCCTGAAACTACAGGCTTCCGTATGGCGACCTTCACTTTACGGGTTTTCAATTTCAAATATTGAAAAGATTGATAACTAAATTGCCTTTCACAACATTTCTTTGTATTTCCACGTTAATAAACTGCTTAAAACCTACCCCAACTCCGACTCTCTCTTAAATTATTGACATTATAAGAAAAATCATGTACAAAACCCTCTGTAAGTGAATGCAAGTTACAAGACTACCACCAAAACATAGTTTACATGAAATAAGGACATGGTTATGATTTTTGAAGTTCATAAAACTGGGGGGAAAATCTTTAAGAAATTAACAAGAACGAATTACACCGTTGTATTCACACTGACTTGGGGTTGCATTGAATTGCTTGCAAAAGCAATTATTATTTTTTGCAAAAGCAATTATTTTGAATACTTTTGTCATTTAATAGACTCTAAGTAAAATCTTAAAACTGATAAGAATGTTTATGAGAAATATAATAACAAAAAGCCCATGGACCACATAAATATACTCTTTTGAAAGTGTACTTTTAGAGACAGGCATATGATTGTACCTTTTCCTATTCCTGAGAAACTGAGCAGACATAAAATCATTTTAATAGCAGAAAACGACCATAAATTACAACAGCAGGTAATATCACGAAAATGAAAAAAATGAACAGTTGTACATGCTGTATCAGATCTAAAAAAATTGTGAAAATTAAGCAAAACGTTTTTAAACAATTGAGGTCAAAACTATAAGAAAAATAAAACTTAAGTAGACTAGCGTGTTGGGTAAGTCTTCTGTCCGATTTTTAAGGAGACAAGATCAAGACAGTAAGATGAGATCAAGTAGTATCACATGAAAGTATAATCATTTGTAAAAGTAGTTCATTTATTTTGACTGTGGCTAACTGACAAAATGATATCAGGCGTCTTAAGTAACATAAAATGTTGAAATCTACTCTTACGTACAATGTAAGCATTAAATGATTTCATCTGATTTGACCACAAGTGAAGTTATGTCCATTGACGTAAACTTAAGCCGTCTTCAAGCAATTTTCGATTCCTTCCGGTACGACATTTGATGACCTTTGATTACCTCATTAGCTCCGACTTGTTTATTTAAAGAACTTTGTTTGTATGATTATGATTGAATTCTTAATGTTTTTGAAACTTTAGCAATCTTTGTAGCACTGTAAATTCTTAATTTTAGGGGTGAACAATTTTTCTCAATATCATATAAAAGTTGTTTCATTCTGCAGCTATTGTTATTGTATCCTCACAAAATATTTAAGGGTTAAAAAAGATGCAAAAATGTGTTTTAAAAATGTGTTCTTATATGTACGTATTTCTGAGCCAAACGAAAATCAAAAATATTATTTTAATTTGTTCTCGATATTGTGATATTTGTGAATAGAACATCTGCCTGATCGGTACTGATTGACATATGTCTTGGTATCATGAAAAGGACCTTATATGATATTCTTGTCCGAAAATCAATTCCCAGATATGTAATGCGCACCATTTTAGCGCTGAAATTCTTGATCACTAGAGGTGGTCTTTGAGGTTGTCACAGAAGTAGCCTCTTAGTTATAACTCAAATAACAAACAATCACTGACTATCATATCGCCTAGCAATCATCCAGTGCCTAAGTGTCCATACCAAATCTACTCAACTTCCGGTTGACCTAGTTTTGTGAACAATTTTCAACTTCTTGTATGCTGCTATCTTATTGCCGTGGCAATCTATTGTAAATAGTTTAATGTAGGTGAATCTATTTGCAACAATTTTTCATGAGAGGAATTCAAAATATTTCTATTGGTTTCATTTTTTACAGATTTTTCTAAAGAACCACCTAAAGACGCCATATTGTCTGCTTTAGCACGGTCTTCTAGCGTCAAACGCCACATACAGTGTAATTTTTTTTTGAGTTTTCAAAAAATACAAATGTAAAGAACACAAATACAGAGAAAAAATAGACATTTTTTTCATCGAAATTGGAAAAGACACAATTTTATTTTTTTTCTAGGAAATAGTAACGCTTCAGTAAACTGCATTTATTGATAAGGTTTGACATTGATATGTCTTATTCTTTTATTTAAGTGACAAAATTATATATCAAATACATTATAAACAAGTTTTTAAAAGTAAAATATTTATTCTTCTAGGTTGTGCGTAAGCAATTTTGTCTAGTGTACATGTAATGTACATAATGTACTGACAAGTCATAGATCTACAAATATATATACATGCACTGTACAGACAAGCCATAGATCTATACAAGTATTATTTACATGTACTGTACAGACAAGCCATGAATCTACAAGTATATACACATGTACTGTACAGACAAGCCATGAATCTACAGGTATATATACATGTACTGTACAGAAAAGCCATGATTCTACAAGTATATATACATGTACTGTACAGACAAGCCATGAATCTACAAGTATATATACGTGTACTGTACAGACAAGTCATGAATCTACAGGTATATGTATATGTACTGTACAGACAACCCATAGATCTACACGTACATATACGTGTACTGTATAGACAAACCACAGATCTACAAGTATATATATACATGTACTGTACACTGTGTACAGACAACCCATAGATCTACAAGTATATATACATGTACTGTACAGACAAGTCATGGATCTGTAAATAATATAAAATCCTTGAAGTGAGGTTTGCAAAGAACAAAAACAAGATGTAACAATTGATTAATGAATTTGCATAATCTGTAGTAGATTACTAATATTATTTTAATTGTTTTGTGGGGCTCCGGGTTAGAATAGGTCCTCAGTACCCCCTTGCTTGTCGTCAAAGACGACTAAATGGGGCGGTCCTTCGGATGAGACCGTATAAACCGAGGCACGATAAAGATCCCTCCCTGCTCAAAGGCCGTAAGTGTCGAGCATAGGCCCAAATTTGCAGCCCTTCACCGGCAATTGTGATGTCTCCATATCAGTGAAATATTCTGGAGAGGGACGTTAAACAGTATACAATCAATCAATCAATCGTTTTACATGCAAGCCGACATTTAAACGTAACAGCTATATTGACTAAGCCGAAATCTTAACTACAGCTGTAATACAACATCAGCCTGTATATGTTTTACATCAAATTAGGGATATGCTTTACACCTAGTTACTTACAATTGACATACGTCGCTGGGGAGAGTAGGTACTTGCGTCAGTGCTTTAGCTTCGCAATCAGCAGATCTTCCAGTGCAGTCTAACGTGGACCGACAGGTACATGGGTCACAGGCCTCAGTCATAGCTTCAAATAACAAAGCACAGAAAACCAAAGTCCACAGTGTCTCATTCATCTTTCAAACTAGTATGCTATGTCTACGACTAATTCAAACTCTGCAGCACTAGATCTACGTCAAACACTTACATGTACGGTCATTCGCGGTTGAGGTTTTTTGCATCCTGTAGATGCACCTGAATACGGATGCGCTGCATATGTAATACGGACTTTGCATCATTTACATTATTTGTTCTGTCGTAAACGGATGATTTTAACACATCCAAGTTGTGTCTGTAGTTCTATGATTATTAAACTTTAACATAGTATTAATAATATAATAATAACTTATATTGTTTTGAAGTTCCAAAAATTATCAATTAAGTGCTGACTAAATAAATTTTCTCTGGCTAAAATTGAAAATATTATACAGATTTTTCTTGACAGGTTTTAATTGATATTCTTCTTAGTACATGTGTATATACTCTGTGTCGTTACTATTAGCCAGATTTCTACCCCTCAATTAATTAAAATAAAAATGTAAAAAGCAAATATTACAAAAATCAACTCTCAACCTTTTAAACTGTTAGGTTTCTGGAATTTTACTTTTAAGGATGGCCATTGGCTAGAATTCGTTACTCGTGTTATGTTTCAAATTTCAAATAAAAAGGGAAATCTTATATTACTAGAGTTTCTGGAGCAATCAAAAACACGAATATTTGTTTATATATGTTTGTACATATGTACGTATGAGGGGTCATAAAAAATCATGGACTTCATTTTTCGTGCTTTCCCCCCAAATATATTCAGATTATATATGTGACGCGCCAAGCAAAAACCTCCCTTAACGAAGAATTTTGACATTTTCAGTTTTTTATTGATTCTAGTGGAGCTTTTCTTTCTCTTTCATTTGATGTATAACATGGCATATATATATATAAAGTAAAACCTTAAAATAACGTGAAGCTATATAATAATTTTATGATACTAGGATTTATATTTTTCTTAACTTTTGATTTGATTCCACTTAAATATATCAACTCTCAAATCTTTTCATTGTAATAATAGAAAATAAACATTCTAAACTATATCTTTGAAAAACGAAAGGGCGGGGGGGGGGGACACAGAAATGATTGTCAAGTGAAAAAAACAAACTCGAATCAAAAATCTCTTTAATTTTTCTTGGAGATCTTCCGATTTATGGCTTTTTTAATGCAATGAAATCGCAGAAATCTACAACAATGCAACAGTAAAAGGGAAAAGGCAACATTTAGGTGTAAAAAAAAAACGTTTATGGTTGTACAAACGATATCCACGGCTTCCTACTAGCTGTTAAGCTCAATCGGTACATGTATAGAGCACTGGACTGGCAAGCCAGAGGCCTCGGGTTCAATCCCAATTACCCGGCAAGCAAAGGCACTTCATTGTACCTGCTACATTGTCGAAGTAGTTATCTTAAATAAAAAAGTTGAAGACAGCCCCTACCACCCCCCTCCCCCGGACATTAAAAGTCTGTTCAATACACAGAATAAAAAAAAAGTACGGGTATTGTCATAGTTTACATTTTAAATACATGTACCTGAATTTTTAAAGAGTGCAAAAGTTTTTCATCTAAAGGCTACCATAAGATTTCTTTTACCACAAGTTTATACTATTTACAAATAGTTTCAAATGTTTTAATGCAGGGAAAATGTATGCAGAATTACGAATTCATCTTTGAAGCCTCTTTGGCTTATTGGTATTCTCGAATAAATTTTATTTGTCTTTTGTAGTGCAGTTTGATCCTTTTCTTCTTTTGGTGTCGTTATGAAATCCATATGATTGTACATGTAATAACTTTTGGAAAATCACAACCCGTAGAATATGAGGCCTAATCTAAGCGTCATTCTTACCTTCCTGGGAAAGTAAATGCACATATTATGATTTATTTTAATCATATCAAATATAAATTGCTTTTTAGAATAGGTTTAAACATGCCAGGCACGTATTGCAACAAGAAGGGGGGCCTTTCCCCCATTTTTTATCCCAACATTACTTTCACTATTAAAAATGTACCTTGAAATGTTGGTTGCCCCCCCCCCCACTTCTTAGCATTGTGTGCCAAAAGATTGGTACTGAAGGAAGTAGGCTTTGGAAAAAGCCCCCCCCCCCAAAAAAAAAAAAAAAAACGAAATAGGATTTACCAGTCTGGAAAATTTTTTTTGCTAGTCAACTTTTTCAGGTAAGTAAAAAAAAATTCTCGGGCTGCCCCCCCCCCCTTTCAAAAACGATGCTACGTCACTGCATGCCTGTTCAAATCGCAAGAGAAAGTAAGAGAACGGATAAAACAAACATTCTTAATATTCTTCCATTATCGAAACGGGGGGGGGGGGGGGGGGGCGGCTGTGTCGTCCCTGCTATGGTCATCCACGCTTAATCAATTACCTGAACTAATTAAACATAACAAGGCACACATTTTACAATCGTAAGTTGTAATTTTCTATATAATATATATATATATATATATATATATATATATATATATATATATATATATATATATATATATATATATATATTTTTTGATAAACGTGAAGCTGTATGAATGGGTTAGTTGATCAAGCACGCAATATTCAAGCCGATCACTTTTGAAGGAAAAAATATTGATATTGTTTAAGTTTTTTTTTTACATGTATATATCAAATTTCGTGTAATTGGTAGTATACTTCCATAGTTTGAAATGCATATATTCATTTAATATCAATTCAACAGAAGGAAATAAAATTATTATACTATTTTCCAAGGTATAAATGTTGGTTGTAAAATCTTTATCAGGGATATAATTACTAAAGGTTAAATAAATCCTTAATATTGAAGGTTAAACTAAAATCATTACAAAGAAAATATATAACCTGTAAAATGTTTAATTTAACTTTAATCTTGCATTGATGTTCTAAGTTCAGAGGGCTGAATGAGCACCGGAGACTGCGTTACTACATGCGGCAGCTTGATTTAGTAATTTTATAAATGGCCGACATTAGGAGGGCTGTTCGGAAATTATTGAGACAATTACATTTTTTCCATAAAGGACGAAGATAATTTCATGAAAATTCGTCAACATTTTATAAAGAACGAAAAAAGTACTTATGCAAAATTTCTAATTCCTATGATAATTAGATAAGTTTCGGTGCGATAATACACATGTATATGTTTATCGACCCGGAGCAGCATCGATACGCAATTTAACGTTACGTTACCGTAGATTGTTTCGAACAGCCCTTGTATGCTGTTTCAAATAAATCCAAAACTTTAAGGCATGTGAACAAATAATAATACATCGTTGGGATGTTGTTAAAGTGTTCAAACAATTTAACGCGTAGATTGTTTCGCATGTGAAACGATCGGGAAGCGTTTAATACTCTTCCTTCTTTTTTATTACACATAATATTACAAAAATTAAACAATATCTTTTCTTAAACTATTCTTTAAAAATATATGCTGTTGCTACCCCAGTGAAACGTATATGCAAATATTCACAAAAAAGACGTTCATTAGAAAACAAAATATACACAATATCGGAAGATTATACAGTGAGACTTCCCCCGGGGAAGTTTCAATATATAGCTAGTCTTCCGTGGGAATCTCGCTGTATATAGCAATTCGTCCCCCTTCATAGCAACCCCTCCCCCGAGTAGTTTTTTTTTTAAAATCAACTCCCCCCCCCCCCCCCTTGACGCAGCCCCCCCCCCCCCCCCCCCCCCCCGGGTGCAATTTTCGAACAGCCCTCGTATGCTGTTTCAAATAAATCTAAAACTTTAAGGTCATCTCTTCACCGTATTGTTTCTTTGGTAGATAAACCATGCTCAAATAATAATACGTTGGGATGTTGTTAAAGTGTTCAAACAATTTGTATGAATTTGTAACAATTCGTATTAGATCTAATTATGACATTTTAGCGATGTATCATTCATGTTTCACATTCGATGTATTATCGGTATATAACTTCAGCAAACGGATTATGAATACGTAACAGTGCAGCAAAATGACGGAAAAGGTCGATAAACATATGTCCAATCTGCTTATTCTCAATCATAAAATATCTTAAAAAGTGGGACTGTTACTTACATTGTATGCGAGCACCCGTATATTCACGACAAAATTTGCACGAAGGGAGCAGACACGTGACACAGGAGAAGGGGGGTTGATTTTTTTCTACATTTTTGTGTACAACTTAAGAAGGTGTTAAACAATACAACAATTTAACAAAATCAGTTGAGAAGCTCAGAGGCCTTTCTTCAAAATATTCATTGTAAATCAACGGCTAATAAATCAACGGCTAAAAACTAATTCCGGAAGAAGTATCCAAATCAAATACTCTGTGTTGCATCTAGAGAGAATTACATTTTTTAAAACTAAACGTAACTATTTATCAATATCCCTGGCAAGCTATCAAAGATTAAGTACAGTTCTAACTACTTGCACAGAAGAGAACAATAACTAGCGATGCATTTTTCTAGCTTACATCATCTACAGAAGTGAAAAGATGAAATAATTTAATTCTAGTTATAACGCGATATTTAGTTTGATAGAAAAAGTACTTTTTATTGCATAATTTGGGTTATCTATGTCATCACATGCATCAAAATATATATATCCGCCTGCCGTTACATTTCAATATTGTACAATTTGAAGTGATTTTTAATGGAAATTGTGACTGTTTTCATTCACTAAATGAAGAAAAATTACGTTACAAGGAATTAGATTGATAGCTACCCAATTTATATGGTATAAACTGTGTTGGAACACTTTACGCCTTTTTTTTTAATATAAACTGCAGCGTTTACTGCCCCAACTCAGGGTAGCTATTAAATTCATCCCTTAAATAAAAGAGTCATCCCTTAAATAAAAGAGAAGTAATTCAGGTCATTTTTCAATGCATCGCTGTTTAAAACAAGAGGCCCATGGGCCTATAGGTCACCTGAGCATCATGCAACAACTTTACAACGATCGACTCTGGTTCATGTTTTTAACTAGACGTCATGGCATTCACAATTTTGAAAGACGCACCATTGCTTATCATAACTAAATACTTAGCATGTT